CCCCCGTCCCGCCAAACCAACGCTACGCCGGGACAGCGGTGCATACGCGCACCGCCTAGGCGCGTAACAACGATGCATAATATTATTGTGCGTCATAAAATGGCCTCCGTCATTCCGAGAGCGACAAGGGCTGTCATTCATATTTAGTTTTCGTATAAATGAAATCATTTAGAACAACACCACTCTGCATAAAAATGACACAGCCAAAAACTACTCCTACTACTACTACTATTGTTTTACAACGTCCATTCAAATCGATGAACCGTTGTGAATTTGCGTAACATTGCATTTACACAACAGAGCCCAACGTACCAATTGATTCGTTAGATGCCCCGACGCCCTGGTGTCAACGGGTTTGAAAGGCAGCTTACCGCTTTTGGGATCGTCCAGAAAGTACGTCTCATATTCACTTGTCAAAGTACGGGAGCACCACGGCGCCTGCGAGACGGAGGGTAGGCCACCCCGCAGTACACGCGTGCACTGCAGGCAAGAAGTTGCCTACCCATCGGGCGCTACGCAAGCTTGCATCGGCGGTAACGGTCATCACCATTGATTTTTACGACTTTACCGAACACACGCGTGCGTGCGGGTGGGTCCGAGTCTTCCGTCACGTCACTGACCACGGCACCTCATGACGAAGGGTGTGTAAGCGTGTGTAAGCAACCCGAAAGTGCACGAAATAAACCCACCTCCTCCTGGAATTGAACGGCGTTTTGCCACGTCTCTCGAGGCACCCGTGGTGATCTCGCCGGCCGCACACGCATTGTGTCTCGCGTCCGTCTTAACGAGCCCTCGAGCCCGTCCAGAGGGGTCCGGCCCAGCAGCGCGGTGGTCCTGCCAAGGTCACGAGCGACACAGTCGTTCATTACCTGGCCGCTGCGATGCTCGACAGGGTCGTCGTCGGCAGGGTCGAGCGGAGCGGTGCGTCTGTATATCCGAGCTGTTACACACAGCTGCCCGGCGGGCGGCGCAGCGCGGCGCAGCGCGGCGCAGCGCGGCCGTTACCGACATTACACGCTCGCTTAATGCTTTCGGCTACGCGGAAAAAAAAGTATTAGCTGTATATTCAAACCAATAGCTAAATTACGTATAACTAATTACTTAGCTATGCAGCTAGAAATGTAGCTATGTTTAGGTTACATAGCTATTTTGCTATTTTTTGTTAAAACTTTTGTGAAATTTTTAGCTAAATAGCTAAAGTTTTAGCTACAACTCTAAATTTTTAACTCAATAGCGATTTATTTGCGACATTGCGAGTTTCTTAGTGATGTAGCTAAATAATTTGGTTAAACCCTACTTAGCTATTGTCAGCTTTATAGCTAATATTTTTTTATCTGTAGCAAGGACCAGCTGGGCCAAGCACTGGGCACTGGGTCTGAGCTCGCTCGCTGAGCGACGGCCGAGATGACGGCTCGGTGACGGCGCGGTGACGGCTCAAGCTCAAGGTGTGATCGCAAAAGACGGGGCGTCTCGTCCCATAAACGATGCGCGCTCCCGGAGTTCTTATGGTCAGCCGGACCACTTTCTTATCCACTCGTCGCTCCCGACCCTCACTTTTTTCAGGAGAGGGACGGAAATCTTCTCGAAATGGCAAAAGTGACAAAGCGCGCTGTTATCGTGAAAGCGAATGACGGGTAGGTCTCCGAGCAGGCCCACTTTGTCCTCTGAGGCGGACGAGAGGGCTGTTCCCAGTTCTTTGGTGAGTGGGCAGCACCGTCCACCAAAAAAAAAAGTTTGATGCAAATAAAGTCCATGGCCAGTGTCCAGTCCTTGTCACTCTGATGGCGCGATAACTTAGAAATTAGCAGGTGATTTTCTCGGTGCGGTCGCCGACGGGTGGCCACACTGTTTTTTTGTATGCAAGATCATAGCAGAAATTCGCGAACCAGCAATGCCCACTCGTTGCAGATGTGCATCACGAACAGTGAGCAGGAAAACACGCACCACCTGCCGTTCGTTCGATTATCTGAAAGTAGTAATCAGTTGGGACAAGTATCGATAATTTTCCAATTAAGTGTCCTGTGTCTCTAGATTTAAAGACTTGCAAACACTTTACACAGTGACTCGTTACACCATCCTCTGTCGTCAGGAGAAAGACCAGAAGAAGATTGCCTCGAAGGTTCCTGTTTGGGCAATCAGACAATTCTATCATTTCTAGTTTATAATGATATTCGAAAACGATTGATTTTACTGCATACGGTTTAGTTTTTTTTTCTAGCTCTGTAAAACATTCAAAATAAGCTATCGAGGGCAATTTCAGTTCAGTAATTAAAACTACGCAATACCATGCCTTACTGTCGAAATACGTCGGTCGCATTTCCATGCATCTAGATACTACACTATGAAACAGGGCCTAAAACATTTCTAGAATTGTGTCTTCTAGAAGAGCCAAGAGTGAGTTCTTTTGTTCCGTGTTGTCGGGCCTCGAGAGGCCAATCTGGACCATTTTCTCTCGAAAAGCAGCATTGTCACCGTCCGGCCCCGCGATGCTGACCTGCCCCAGGCCACTGGAGATTCCATCTCTTTTTATTCTCTCTCTGGCTCTCTCTGTCTTTCTCTCTCTTTGTGTCTCTCTGTCTCTTTCTGTGTCTCCTCCCACCCTCCCTCTTTCCCGACCACGACGACACGCTCTGCTAGCCTCTTGACCAGTATCCACTTGACTGCTGATATGGCTATTCGTGCGAATCTGTCTGCGTTCCCTTTCTCTCCATTTAAAACACAAAACGTAAATTAAAATGCTAATGAGTGTTTAGGACGTAGTCTTGTATATCGAAAGTGCATTTGCACTCTTGCCAGGCCGTTAAAGAAAGACATTACAGATACAGTCGAAATATATTCACGACTGATTGATAATTGTCAATACTTTGTCGGAACTGATTACTTCATTCAAGTATTAAACCAACGTTAGCCCATCTCTTTGTAGGGGAACAGACAAAGATGAACGGACGGACAGATGGGACAGACAGACAGACAGACAGACAGACAGACAGACAGACAGACAGACAGACAGACAGACAGACAGGCGGTCGTTTACATGACATTAGTACCCCGCAGCACTTAAAATTGCCTTTTCAAATCAGAAGGGTGAGCTACAAATATAAATGTTGTTAGAGAGCGTTTAAGAGCTACAATAGTACTAAAATTTACACCTCCTGTTCCGCGACGTCGACCGTGGCCTTTTGTACAAAGAAGAAAGTTTCTTTTGTAGTAACCCAAGTGTGTGAATGTCGCACACTTGTTGGTGTGTAATTCCAATATTTGTACAACAAGTGTATTCATTAGGATTCACACACACTTGGATTTCCTGTGTGTACACCAAAAAGGCAAGGTGTTCACCCGGCCACACCTAAAGAAAAGTCAGCTGATGGAAATGAATTGCAAGGGGCAAACGGCGAACACTCACCTGCCAACGACGTGTCCTGGCGGTCGATGTAATCCAAGGTAATATAACTGAATGTGTATCCGTGCGTGCACACACTGACCGCGCCACCGAGGCGTCGGTGCGACTGAGATTGACAGGAGAGGGAGAGAGAGAAAAAGAGAGAGAGAGAGAAAGAAACACTCGGCGGCCGCGCGGACCAGACCCTCCTCGCAGGTGGATGGACTAACGGAGAGCGCGGGAGAGGGGCGCCGCGGGGAGAGTGGGGGAGGGAAGGGCTGCGAGAGAGCGAGAGAGAGGGGCGCGAACGGGGCCTCCTCCGCTCCGTTCGACTCGAGAGGCAGACGACAACTGAAGCCCAGGCCGGGCCCAGGCCCCGGCAAAGCCCCCGGAGTGCCCGGCCGGCCACCTCAGCCCGCCCCGGCCAGACCGCAATCCGCCGCCGCTGCAGCCGCTACACCTGCAGCCGCCGCGGCCGCGAGGGCATTCTGAGGCGCCAGTGCTGCTGCCGCGCTGCCGCCGCTGCACCAGTCTCTCTGA